GGGTAAGGAGCTCTCATTATTCCGTCTGCACCTTCATGACTTTAGCCGGTCTTCGGGAATCTCATATCAAATCTGTCACTGGGAATTTGTGATAATTTGGACCCAGAATCTTTGGAGAGAAGAGGAGATTTACTGCAGCATACCAGACTCACTAGCTTGGTATAGACTGAGTAACTGGTGATCTTCTGTTTCTAGTCACTAGTATTAAATCATAGCCAAACTCATTCATAAAATAGTACAAAACATATCGTGATTAAACAATAAAGCAGGCTAAACAGGTAACGCCGTCCCTGAGTTATGGTGTCAACACAGCATGTGTGTATATACAGAACACTATAGTCATTGTGTGACTTCCCAAACCCAGACATTTAAACAGCAGAGTAGAAACGACTGATCTGTATCATTATTTAAACACAGAGCCCGCATATTAATACAGCGCTGGGCACGGAGAGTGGCGCCATATTAATGTAGCGCTGGGCACAGGGAGAGTGGCGCCATATTGATACAGTGCTGGGCACAGGGAGAGTGGCGCCATATTAATACAGGGCTGGGCACAGGGAGAGTGGCGCCATATTAATACAGGGCTGGGCACAGGGAGAGTGGCGCCATATTAATACAGGGCTGGGCACAGGGAGAGTGGCGCCATATTAATACAGGGCTGGGCACAGGCAGAGTGGCGCCATATTAATACAGGGCTGGGCACAGGCAGAGTGGCGCCATATTAATACAGGGCTGGGCACAGGCAGAGTGGCGCCATATTAATACAGCGCTGGGCACAGGCAGAGTGGCGCCATATTAATACAGCGCTGGGCACAGGCAGAGTGGCGCCATATTAATACAGCGCTGGGCACAGGCAGAGTGGCGCCATATTAATACAGCGCTGGGCACAGGCAGAGTGGCGCCATATTAATACAGCGCTGGGCACAGGGAGAGTGGCGCCATTTTACTACAGCACTGGGCACAGGGAGAGTGGCGCCATAATAATACAGCGCTGGGCACAGGGAGAGTGGCACCATTTTAATACAGCGCTAGGCACAGGGAGAGTGGCGCCATATTAATACAGGGCTGGGCACAGGGAGAGTGGCGCCATATTAATACAGGGCTGGGCACAGGGAGAGTGGCGCCATATTAATACAGGGCTGGGCACAGGGAGAGTGGCACCATATTAATACAGGCTGGGCACAGAGAGTGGCACCATATTATACAGCGCTAGGCACAGGAGAGTAGCACCATATTATACAGGGGCTGAGCACAGGGAGAGTGGCACCATATTGTACAGGAGCTGGGCACAGGGAGAGTAGCACCATATTAGCCCAGGGCTGGAGGCACAGGGGAGAGTAGGCGCCATATTAGCCAGCAGCGCTGGGCACAGGGGAGAGTAAGCGCCATATTAGCCACAGCGCTAGGCACAGGCAGAAGTAAGCCATATTATACAGCGCTAGGCACGAAGCAGAAGTAGCGCCATAATAGCCACAGGCTGGAGCACAGGGAGAGTAGCACCATATTATACAGGAGGCTGGGCACAGGGAGAGTGGCGCCATATTAATACAGCGCTGGGCACAGGGAGAGTGGCGCCATATTAATACAGCGCTGGGCACAGGCAGAGTGGCGCCATATTAATACAGGGCTGGGCACAGGGAGAGTGGCACCATATTAATACAGGGCTGGGCACAGGGAGAGTGGCACCATATTAATACAGCGCTAGGCACAGGGAGAGTGGCACCATATTAATACAGGGCTGGGCACAGGGAGAGTGGCACCATATTAATACAGGGCTGGGCACAGGGAGAGTGGCACCATATTAATACAGGGCTGGGCACAGGGAGAGTGGCGCCATATTAATACAGGGCTGGGCACAGGGAGAGTGGCGCCATATTAATACAGCGCTGGGCACGGCCATATTAATACAGCGCTAATGCAGCGGCCCCGTCTTACGTCGTCCCGGGGGAGAGCAGCGGCCCAGTCTTGCGCCGTCCCTGTGAAAACAGTGAAATTGCCCTGGTATTCACAGTATTTCCTGTATGGATCTGTCTGTTGCTATAGCCAGAGAGTGATGGGAAGATAACACAAACTGAATTAAACAGAGCTCACTGTCCCATCAGCACCAGGGACCGTACAGTCATTATTAGATGCCCAGAGCCAAACCTGGGTTAGAGATTATTTGAGTCCCAGAAGTAAGGAGCTGTGCTTGGGGATAAGGTAAAGGAAGAAAGATGGTATTTAAATTTGAATATTATTGGGGAGGTCTACAGTTTGGGGATACTGTACCTCCATAAAACTTCCATGTGCTCTAAGCAGTGCTTTGCCGGTCTTGATAAGCCAAAGTATACTATTAGTAACATGGGATTGGTCACTTAACATTATCTCTCCCCATGAGAAAAAAGCAATTTGCTCTATTACCTGCTTGGAGCTGATGACATCATGAAACTTGGTGACAAATATTTACGGTTGGGGAGGGGTAAATGACCAGGATAATTCCCATTGAACACAGGGAGTTTGCAGCGATTACATAGGCAGGCACTGATATATTCATACTGTGTGTACGTTACACCTTTTTGCCTGAAGCAGAAACCTACTGTAGATAAATCAGTTTAATGTAAACCAAATGGTGGCCGAGAAAAAGATCCAAGGCTGCCAGAACTAAACTCACGCTTTGATTCAAATGTTCTACAAATGATTGCAATCAAACTACAATAACAATAGTTTAATTGTTCATTCCAATCAGAGCTTGGGGAAAGTTCCGATTTATATCACTTGAACGAGGAGAGAGCACAGTAAACGTAACGGAAATGTTTTAGGGAATGAGACAAAAAGCAGGCGGAGCACCACCATAAGTCTTTACGATACCGCACATTTCCCAAGACACTCTGCTCCACCATCGTTAACCAACAATTTACTGCATGCCTAGTACTGGGAATTTAAATACTTATTTTACATTCGACGCACATTACTAAGTAAGACAATAAACACTGCATCAACTATTAAATCATAATGTGACTTTAGCCCCAGAGTGACAGTTCTTCTGGATTCAAAATCTACACAGTGAGTAGAAGCCGGTAATGTGGTCTGACAGTACAGCTTAAACCGATAATACCGCCATGTGAATGTACCGGATCTGACCGGCTCTGCCGGCAATTATGAGATGACCCCGGTCATTACTTAAACACAAACCTAGAACTTCTGCATCATCGGAATCAGCTCGGAATTGGGTTATTCAATTAGAGGCCATGCTAAGCCAACTGAAATAGTTATTAAATAATTTAGTCTAAATTTAGAAAATCCCTGCGACCGAGTGGATTATTCAGTAATCAATAAATTGAAAACCCCAATATGGAAATAGTCTCTCTCCCACAATTTTAACCTTAACTTTGGAGTTTGGTTTACAATGCCTTTTTAAAGATTAACCCTGCCAATTTATTTATTACTGGTATTTATAAAGCGCCAACAGATTCCGCAGCGCTGTACAATTGGTGGAGAACGTACAATATACACAGAGGTAGACAAATACAAGAGGTAGAGACAGCCCTGCCCATAAGCTGATAACTAGCCATTGGAGCTCTTTTATACAAAATGCTTAGCTAGATAGCCTGTGAGCTTACAATCTAAAAGGATACAATGGGGATTTGAGACAAGAAGTAGCAGGGAAAATTTGGATGTGATGGCTAAAAGAGTTAACAGAGAGAAGCAGCTATTGGTAAATAGAAAGGGAATTTCTAATTCAGATACGTCAGCCTAAAATATGCATGTCCCTTGTTATTTCTGCACCCCCATGTGTCTGTGAGAAATATGCTTAGTCTATACAGCGGAGGAGGAGAGACGGCCAAAAGGTTGTTTTCAGCCTTAATGACACACACAAAGCATCTATGGAGCTGTAGTCCAATGACAGTGGGCTTTTGCCAAACTCTGCTGTAATGGTCCACGATACAGCTAGTAGCAGACACTCATTTAGACTGGGTTACATTAACAAGAACATGTTTACAAGCATCCCATCCATCCAACTGACCCAAACTAGGGAAATATAGCTGCAGGCTCCTTCGAGGGCGTCTCTAGCTGTGAATTAAGGGAAGTAAAGTCCATAACATTTATAGGGTCACAAGATAGCCATAAATAGCTTTTAAAACAAAAGTTCTATTTAACGTTCTTGAGAGCAGATGTGAAACAACGACTTCCTTTCACCCAGCAAATACTCACTCCAAGCCACATCGAGAGACCCTGAACATAACCAACAATGCCCACGCCAAGCCACATCAAGAGAGAGCCCCTTAATATAATAAATACCAGCAATGCACACCCCAAGCCACATCGAGAGACAGCCCCTGAACATAACCAATACCAGCAACGCACACTCCAAGCCACATCAAGAGACCCTGAACATAACCAGCAATGCCCACTCCAAGCAACATCGAGAGAGAGCCCCTTAATATAATCAATACCAGCAATGCACACCCCAAGCCACATCGAGAGACAACCCCTGAACATAACCAATACCAGCAACGCACACTCCAAGCCACATCGAGAGATGGTCCATAAACATAGCATTTAATACTAAAGCTCTATTTAACAGAGCAGATGTGAAATAATGACTTCCTTTCATCCAGGCGATGCCCACTCCAAGCCACATCAAGACAGCCCCCAAACATAACCAATACCAAAAATGCCTACTCCAAACCCCTTACAAGAGATGGCACCTGAACAACAATGCCCACTCCAAGCCACATCGAGAGATGGCCCATAAAACATAACCATACCAAAAAAAGCCCACTCCAAGCCACATCGAAAAATGGCTGCTGTACATAACCAACTGACCAACAATATCCACTCATATTCACATTGGACAATGAAAATGACCATCTGATTCCTGCCAACAGTGCCCATTCCAA